ATATATATATATATATAATAAATACTATAATATATTATTTTTTCTAAGATTCGTAATATAAAATATAATTCAATATTTAAAATTTAAAATTGAATACTTCATTCAACGTTAATAACTTTGCATCTATAAATCAATTAATTAAATATAAATTAATGAAATAAAAAAAAAATAAATTACGATTATTCGATCATTATATTTTCAATAGAACACCATCGTCATCTATTTATTCATATAACCATTAATCATAATAAGATAAGATCAACAAAAATATAACATAATATATTACAATCCTCGCACACACATAAACAGAAAAAATAAATACACGTGAATAATATTCTCATATTATGCTTAAGTCGTCTACAATAGAAAGTCCCTTTCGATTATTATTTATCTTCATAGGAAGAAGAAGAAGAAGAAGTATAAGAAGAAAGTTAAACGCTAATTCAGCGTATCAAAATGAAAGTTAAATAAATGCGTGTATCAATGGCTCAAAGATATGCAATCGCAAATGAAATTCAAATCGATTTTAAATATTATACAACTTTGTTAGCTAACCAAGAAACCCCTGGAGACACACACGTTACTCTTATTACCATATACATATCTATATTTTTTTAAACAAAATCGACACGCGCCGTCAGTTAAAGTATAATACCGCAAAACGAGTAATTCGAGTAGGTTTCGTTTTAAACGTTTAGTCGTCTCCATTATCGCGAACTAAGAATGATTTCTTGGAGAACGGGAAGAGAAACAAAAATAATGTTCTTACATGTTAATATTGTAATTATATAATTGCATAATGTTAATAATTAAAATAAAAATATTTAAAATTAGTCTGCGGTTTTTTAAACTTACAAGAATGAATACATGCATAATGAAATATATATATTCATATATATACACATAATGAAATATATACATGAATATATACATGAATACATATAATATGTATATGTATTCATAGTTCTTTTAATATGTTCATTTTTTTTTGGTAATAATAAAATTGTGTTATAATTATTGTGAAAGATTAAATTAGTGTCACTTTGATCAAAGGTTGACGAAAACCGGCAGATAGTTTCTTTCATCTTTTAACGTTGTCATGTTTTTAATCTTTACTTTCGACCTTTCCCTTTGCATTTTTTTGTCGTTTCAGATAAGAGAAAATCTTAAGCAGGACGTGTGTCCCCCCCCTCCCCACCCCCATCATTAAGATTATCTTATTCTCGTCGGTATTCGTCAGATACTTAGAAGTTAAATTCAATGCTTTTCTTCAAGTCGTTACTTGACACGATCAAAATTCTCTATCCTTTCATTAATAATATTTTTTTGTTTTTTTTTTTTTATTTAAAAAAAAAAAATAAATATACAAATTCAGCTCTCGTTAAAAATATATGTTAGACACAAATAAAATAATACAAATAATCAAAAATTAATAATTATATATGTGTGTGTTGGGTGGTTCGGAAAGGTTCGTTTTGTTTTTTGCTGACACAATAATGATTGCATTAGTTGATGCAAACCGACAAATAGTAACACATGCGATCGATGAGAGGTTAAATTGATCAAATTCAACTATTTATGATCACTTGAAAGGTTTAGGTTTAATCTCGAAGCTAAAATTATCTTCATTTTTACAAAAGAAAAACGAAACAACTTTCCGAACCATCTAATATAATTTTATTAATATTTATATTTTACTAATATATATATTATATATTATTTTAATTATGTATATATAAATTATATAAAATTGATTCGTTTAATTAAAAAAAGAAAAAACATAAAAGTAAGATATAAATACTATTATAAATAACCCAAGGATTTATAATCTTTGGTTTGAAAAAAAAAGTCTCACAATTCTCGAATAACTTTGACGAGGGTACGTTGTGGTATGAGACATTTAACTGACACGGTTAGAATACTAGGAAGGAAAACAATAATTAGTGATGTCACCATAAACGTTTGAAGTTCTTCTTATCCTTGGTGAGTCCTTATCGCGTGTACTCGTGATGATGAAAGGGAAGGAGAAAAAGGGATGGTGATGGAGTGAGTCCGTAGAAAGGAAATGGTATATCGTATCCTATCGCAAGTTTCTTTTTCTCTGTCTCTCTCTCTCTCTCTCTCTCACTTTCTGGAATGTACAAATATATGTATATATACACATACTTATGTATATATACATATACTACTTAACTAAACGACCAAAAGCGTGCGAATGTTTACGAGTCGTCTTACAACGGGTTTCTTTTTGACGCCACGTAGGCGTCAATGGGAACCCATGACGTCGTTCGTCCTCATAGACGCCAAAGACGCGTCTGTCTCCTTGACATACGAACCCATTATCATCTTAATCTTCTTTTTTTTTTTGTCCTTTTTTCTCTCTCTCTTCCATTTTGTTATTCGTTTATCGAAAGAACAAACACACGCAAAAAATTTATAAACTTATTTAAGTATAATAGTAGGCATTTTTTTCTATGTTCAAATTTTAACTCGTTGCTTTATGTGTGAGATCATTTTTATTTTTATTATTATATATTTATATTTATTTAATTTAATTATTTTTAATATATTTTTTCATTTATTTTATATTATATCAAGCATATATTTTCTAGGTGTAATTTCTAACACGTTGGTTACAAGGTAATTTTTATTTTATTTTTAGATTTATTTTTATTTTATTTTTTTTAAACGTTAATTAATTATTAAATTATATTATATTATTATTATGACATTATATTATTATATTTTTATATTATAGTATTATTATTATTATTATTATTATTATTATTATTATTATTATTATTATTATTATTAGTATTATTATATAATAGTATTAAATTTCTTTTTTTATTCTTTCATCTTATCGAAGAAAGTTACAATACTATATATAGTAATTGGAATATTATGTATTACGAATGAATGAAAATAAAAATAAAATTGATATTAGAAAGGTACTTCAATATAAAATTCAATAACCATCTCAATAATTTTCTAATCTTCTGTAAAATATCACATGTGAACGTTCGGGATTTAAACATCATCAAACGTGCTTTCACCATACTCATTTCCAATATATATATATATAATTAACAATATACTATAAGAAGATTGTAATAAATGATGGATTAATTTGTTAATTAAAAATTAAATTTTTCCAATAATACACATATATACGTTTGAGTATCTGTGCATATGTATATAAGAATAAGTTTCGTGAACATCATTCGTAAACGAGAAGTTGAAAGATTTTTACCTATACATAAATAAATATATATATATATATATATATGTTTTCTTTTAAAGAGAATTATATACCAATTCACTAATAAAATGAAATCGTTCAAAGGTGGTAGTTTACTTCAAAAGAAGAATACTTTTTGAGTATTGAGAAACGAATACGATTTTTTCTTCTTCTTCTTTTTATTCTTAAAAAAAAAAAAAAAAATAAAAAAATAAAAAAAAAAAAAATAACAAAAAAAAAAGAAAGAAAGAGGGTGGGGGAAGTTTGAAGTCTCGTACTTAGGCGACTCACGATTTTCGTTCGAGGCATAAAGTACAGTCGGTGAAGAATTTCAATTCGTGCGCCACTTTATATCTCTTCTTACAACCGTGCGTTCAACTGCCCTTCTTCTTCTTCTTCTTTTTTCTCCCTTCTCCTCCTCCTCCTCCTCCACCACCACTACCACCTCCTCCTCCTTCTCTTCTTCTTCTTCTTCTTCTTCTTCTTTTCCATAGGAAGAAAGAAAGAAAGAGAGTGTTCT